GATCTGCAGACAGGTACCACGGCAACAGGACTCTCCAATATATTCAACTCTCAGATTTGGGAGCAATGCACTGTAGACAGGAAACCCCAGGCAACAAGGCTTTCCTAATATATCCAACTCCTATTAGCTTTGGGAGCAGTGCTCTGCAGGCAGGAAACCCTGGCAATAAGACTCTCCAATCAATCCAACTCCTCTTACATAGGCTAAGAAGGGAAGAGAAAACAAAGCAGGCGACAGTGTAATACTGAATAGCAGGTTTATTGTATTTAAAACCTATCTAAACCACTCACATGATAAAGTGTCACAGCCGACACCAGCATGAACCGCATAACATTAACATCATCTCAAAAGCTGGAGATGCCATCCGCTTACGGAACGTAGTGACGTCAGTCCGAAGCTCCACCCCACCCGCTTCGTCACTTGACGTCTTCACGGAGCGGAAGGATGGCAATTTTACAATAGACGTTTTTGATTTATTTATGATAAAAGCACAACCTTTTTATTTTATTGATATTCAAATTTCAATCGAATTGGAAAACAAAATCAAATATGAAAATGAAATTGAAATTGAAAAACAAATTGGAAATGTAAAGGTATTGCTGAATATTGCTGATTTTCTGACTGTGTGTATTAGTGTTAGAATATAGCCATCTTCTGATTTTCTTCAAATTTCGAAAAGAATGGAATAGAATAAAACAGAATAGAAGAGAATATAAAAGAATAGAAGAGAAAATAAGAGAATTGAATAAAATAGAAAACAAAGGAATGGAATAGAAAAAAAATTACAATAGAATAGAATGAATATAGCCATCTTCCGAAATTCGATTTTTGAATAGAATAAAAACTAAAATAATAGAAGAGAATAGCAAAAACAAAAAGAGAAAAGAATAGAAAATACAATAAAATAATAGAATAAAATAGGATAGGAAATAAGGGAATAGAAAAGAATAGAATAGAACATGAGTGGTGGTTCTCAGATAGTGCCGAGTCTCGGATTGTAAAGATCTCTGCTTGGTGAGTTGCAGGGCATAGTCTATACTTTCAGGATTTGTAAGGTGACAGTTGATTAACTTGAGCTAAACCACACCACACACTATTTTGATACAAAAACTTTGTCTACTAAACATGTAACTAAGACTGTGCTCCAAATAACTCTTATATAAATAAATAAATTCCAATAATCTGAATTTATATCTATTTATAGAGCTGCTCATCAGAAAGCTTATATAAAGCCAGAGAAAACCTTAAACCAGATGGACCGTGCTCTACAAACCCTTATCAAGTATAAAATGACAAAATATATGGATAAATGTGTACAAAATGTTTTTTTTTTTAAAATGACTTACGCCAACATAATTATGCATTTCATGTATTGCATTTTTTTAAAAACATTTTGTACACATTTATGAAGTATAAAATTAAAAAATTTTCAGATAAGGGTTTGTAGAGCGCGGTCCATCTGGTGTAAGATAAAACTATTATCTGTTAATTGTGTGTATGTAAACATTTCTGTAACATTTGCTTGAGTATAAGCATACAGCATGAATGTACACTATCGGTTGCTAGGGCACTAGGCAGCTTATGCTGCCTGCATCCTAGCAACAAAAGACACTAAGCAGTGCAAGCCATCTGCACCATCCTAGCAATGATGTGGGTGGAGCTAGTGCTCCTTTTATACATTATGTTATAGGCCGTGGTATTTAGAAATCAGACACCCTTAGAGGTCTGTTTACAAGGCAGTGAATACAATTTCACATTCTTCTGTGGTGAAGCAATCACTGTCATTTAAAATATATGGACCTGGAAAATTCACCTGCAGTGAATGTTTGTTGAATGTCAAAAACACTACTTCATAAAGATGCCCCTTGGGCCTTGTGGTGGTGAGAAGTAGATATTTTACCTCCTCACCATCTGCCTCTAAAAAACAATTAACCAACGTTCACCTTCCTGGGGTACAACAGTCCTTGCCGCTAGAGTAAACAAGTCCTTAGTGTGTTCTTTCCCTCTTTGTTGCCCCCAGTACTTTTACAGATCTAAATTTTCAAGAAACAAAAACACAAATATTATTTTCTATTGAATATACTTTTTATGCTTCACAATCTAAAACCACAGCCTTTCTATATATGCACTCTGTCTGTCTGTCTATCTACAGTCATGGCCAATAATATTGGCACCCCTGCATTTCTGTCAGATAATGCACCACTTCGCCCAGAAAATTGTTGCAGTTACAAATGTTTTGGCATTCTCATGTTTATTTCTTTTGTCTGCATTGGTATGACACAAAGTGGAGAAACAAAAAGCCAAATCTGACACATCCCATGCAAAACCCCAAAAATGGACTGGACAAACTTATTGGAACCTTCAATATAATATTTGGTAGCACACCTCTTGGAAAAAATATACATTTATACACACACACGGTGCCTTGAAAAAGTATTCATACCCCTTGAAATGTTCCAAATTTTATGTTACAACAAAAAACGTAAATGTATTTTATTGGGATTTTATGTGATAGACCAACACAAAGTGGCACATCATTCTAAAGTGGAAGGAAAATGATAAATGGTTTTCAACATTTTTTTATGGCCAAAAATGTCACTCTCTAGATGTGCTGGTAGAGACATCCCCCAAAAGACTTGCAGCTGTAATAACAGCGAAAGGTGGTTCTACAATGTATTGACTCTGTGGGGGCTGAATACAAATGCTGCCACACTTTTCACATATTTATTTGTAAAAAAATCCATTTATCATTTTCCTTCCACTTCACAATTATGTGCTGCTTTGTGTTGGTCTATCACATAAAATCCCAATAAAATACATTTTTGGCTGTAACTTGTCAAAATGAGGAAAATTTCAAGGGGTATGAATACTTTTTCAAGGCACTATATATATATTATATTGTTACATAAGTATATTATCTATCTATCCTGGTTTACAGAGTTTTCTGTCTTGGAGACATGACATGAAGCAATCTAATTCAGTGGAAGTCAGTGTGGGTCATCAGAGAACATTCGTATTCATTGTATCACATCCTCAATGACTCCCAGATCAAAGGATGCCAATGAACAAGAAATGTATCTATTTAGGATTCAGATCTGCCTGCATAAGTGTTTACTTTCCCTTATGTATAAGCCCTGCAGCTGTCAGGAAGTGCGCAGCTACCAGGCGATGGGGGTGAGCAGTAATGAAGGTTCTTCCTATTCCTCCTCTCTTTCATCTGCTCTCCTCTTCCCATCCTCTCCACAGCCTCGCTTTATTTACCAACCTATCTGCCGGTTCATCTCTATTCTCTCATGTCCTACCTATTACTGTGTGTGCACATTCTGAACGCAGAGACATTGCATTATGAAATCCTTTTCCACAGTTAAACACAAGGCAATTATGCAGTGGCTGCAGAGCTGAATATTCTGAATCAGGAATGGAAATTACTGAGAATGTACGGGAGAGGAGGCCCAGGTGATGTCCCTGATTTGGGCCAGAACCCTTCTTTCCAGCAGAACTTTCATGGAGACATGCAGATTTGTATGCACTGGATTTACCTAAACTCATTGGGATTATTTTAAAAATTCTCATTCCTAGAATGCATTTGTAGTGCTACCCCTCAGGAGCTGCTTGGTAATTTGGGTTCTCTGTTCTGCACCTCGCCTCCAAGAACACCCCCCTGGCACATCGGGTTGAATAAAAGTTACTGCAAGCACTTATAAGTATAGATACCTTTAACTTATGAATTGGCACAAGGCTGTTTATTGGCAAATGAACTCTGAGACATGTGCACAGCCAAAATTTTCATTTATAGACACATCATAAAACAGAACACAACAGTATGAACAAACAATACTAATATATAAAATGTCCTTCAATGTCCAAATAATTTAGAACAGTGCAATGTTTCCACTTCTAGAGTAAATCTTCATCTATCATGGGCAGCACAGTGGCTAAATGGTTAGCACTTCCACCTGGCAGTACTAGGGTTGTTGGTTCAAATCCCAGCCACGGCACCGCCTACCTGGATTTTGCATGTTCTCCCTGTGCCTGCATGTGTTTCCTCCGGGTACACTGGCTTCTTCCCACACTCCAAAGACATGCTGGTAAATTAATTGGTTCCTGTCTAAATTGTCCCTGGTATGTGTATGTAAGAATGGGAGTTAGGGACCTTAGATTATACACCCCTTGAGGGTCAGGGACTGATGTGAATGTACAATATATATGTAAAGCACTGCGTAAATTGACAGTGCTATATAAGTACCTGAAATAAATAAGATAAATAAATAAAAATAAATCTATGAAGTGCTCCGTGTTTTTATCAATCATAAAGTGCCTTAGTGCTCAAAATCACAATGTGCTTGGTGACCAGTACCCCTTTTTTCTTCGCACTCACCAGACTAGGTGGACCCTCTGATATTAACCACTTCCAGACCGGACACTTTTACCCCCTTCCTGACCAGGGCAATTTTCAGCTTTCAGCGCTATCACACTTTAAATGACAATTGCGCGGTCATGCAACACTGTACCCAAATGAATTTTTTACCATTTTTTTGAGACAGATAAAGCTTTATTTTGGTGGTATTTATTCACTGCTGGGATTTTTATTTTTTTTTTGCTATGTAAATGGAAAAGTCCAAAATTTTGTAAAAAAGTGCGGTTTTTTTATAACATTTTGCAAATAAATAATATTTCATCATAAATCTTGGCCAAAATTTATTCCGTTATCTTTTTAGTAAAAAAAAAAATCCAAATTAGTTTATAACCAAAAATTATAATTTTTAAACATTTTTTTTTTACATTTTTATTTGATTTTTTTATATTATTATTATTTTTTTTTTTTACATAATGTCACCCTAGCAGTACAGTGTCACCATGGTGTCACTGTACTACTTGTGGGGGGTGATGAAGTTTTTTTTTTTTTTTTACACGGATTGCTTTTACACCCATATAGGATGTAAAAGCAATCATTTCTCTTTCTCTCTGTCTGCATTCTTGCACTCATTGAGAAGTACTGAGTGAGCTGTGATTGGTCACAGCTTGTCACATGGTACAAGGCTGTTGTGAATAGCCTTGTACCATGTGACCTCTGTGATCATTCACAGATTTCACACGTAGTAAGCAATGATGTCAGGAAGTGACATCTTGCTTACTACTTTGCATGTGATCACTGATTGGCCAATCAGTGATCACATGATCGGGACCTCATACAGAGGTCCCGTCCAGCGATCGGTGTTTCACTGTGTCCAGAGGACACAGCGAGCACCGGATCGCGGTGCTGTGTGCTCCCAGGGAGCGCGCACAAGCAGGGTGCGGGGAGGCCGTTTATAAACGGCCACCCGACCCTGCAGTGCCACCGTCCGGCCGTTTATATGCAATGGCCGGTCGGGAAGTGGTTAAGCATAAAAGTCTGATGCACTTTTTCTGGTGACGGGCGCCAACCTTCTTCCAAATATTTGTAGTGATCCAATGAAGTGAAGTGTATGGGTAGGATGAATGCCAATACTGCCTTTACAGGCCTCTGGAATGAAGCCCACCACCTCCATGCAGTGACCAGGTGAGAAAAGTCACTGCCTACAGCCCACAGAACCCATTTTCTTAGCTTTTGCAGCTTGTGCAAAAGCTAAGAAAACCACCGGTGCTCACCCTCACATTATGTGCCATCCTGCTTCTTCGTTATCTAAGAAACGCATTACAGAAATTTTCATTTAGGTTTTGTTTCATTCATTAATTGAAGAATTTTGTTTCATCATATTTGTTATGTTGAACAGATTTGTTTTCGGAATTTGTTTCATATCTTCGACATATTTGTTTCATATATTTGTTTTTATCATAAAGATTTGCTTCAAATTTGCTTCATTGTGAAGAATAGCTGGTTGTTAAGGAGCGGGTGGCCACGGAGTCCTTAACAACCCATGGCACATCTGCTGTCAGTGGGAAATCAAGTGACGGCATTAAATTGAAAAAAAAAAAACGTGGGAGTCTCCCCTCCCCAATCATCCATACCAATATGGATTTTGAGGATAACCTCATGACAAAAAAAATAAACAAAAACAAATGGCATGGGGTCCTCTCCCACCAAAAAAAAAAAATCCATACCAGATCCTTATCTGGGTATGCAACCTGGCAGGCCAGGAAAGAGGGAGGATGAGCGAGTAACCCCCTTGAACCACACCAGGCCACATGCTCTTAATATGAGGAGGGTATTTTTGGGCAGGGGGATCCCCCACAATGCACCTTGTCCCAGGACAAGGGCCTCTTCCTCAAAGCCCTGAGAGGTGGTTGTGGAGGTCCTGGATGAGGGCTTTAACAAAGGGGATCCCAGATCCCCCCCCCATGTGAATGAGTATGAGGTATATAGTACCCCTATTAATTTGCAAACAAAAGTGTCAAGTCCTTTATTAAACCTTCCCCCCCAAAAATAAATGTTCTCCAAAGTAAATCCAATGTCAATCACGGTGAATGAAGGCTGCAGAGCCATATGAAAAACAAATTTACTGCTCGCTGAACAAGTCTGCTCCCATGTCCCATCACATGCCGAATGACAGGTAAACATGGGGGCGGGTCTGGTGACATCACCAGATGACTCGCCCCTATGTTTACTTGTCATTTGGACAGCGTCTCGTGACCCGTCACATCCCGAATGACAGGTAAACATGGGGGTGGGGTCATCCATTGATGTCACCAGATGACTCTGTCCTCATGTTTACCTGTCATTTGGCATGTTGCGGGACACAGGAGCGGATGTGCTCGGTGAGTGAAAGGATTTTTTTTTTTCATGTGGGTCAGCAGCCATGTTGGATCTACTTCGGGAGACATTTCAAGTCCTTAATAAAGGACTTGTCAAAAACTCACCAGGCCCAGCAATATTACAGCTCATACAGTGATTAGTCCATTCTCTGCTCCAGGTGACGCTATCTGCACATCTGGAATCAGCACTCTGGATCCTGCTCAGGTCACCATTATGCAGCAGTGATGGTGCAGCAATGTCCACTCTCCGGTCTCCTTCATGACAAGAGGAATCTGTGTCCTTTACAGTCTGGGAAATTGCAGCTCTTTCCCCTCCTCCTGGCAATCTCCCTCTGGGAAATGCAGTTCAAAAGCTCTTGATTACAGTATAGTCTCTCCTCTGGACTACAGTTCCCACAGTGCAATGCTGCCTGATTCAGCCTATTGAATACTTCTTGCTCAACAACTCCCTCCGCTTGCTGATATAGCTGTTAACCAGTTCAGTATTGCAGGACAGCAGCTACAGCCAGTGTTTCTCTCACTCTCCATTCTTAGCTAGGCACCTGGCTATACATTAGAACCATTCATTGTAATCTACTTTATACGCACAGCTATTCTGCAACCCTACAGAATAGTTAACAACAGAAATGAGAGATGGATTCATCATTCCTGAGCTATAAAGAGCCTGACTCCTCTCATCACCCCTTATGCCCTCTTACACCTACAGGTTTCTTGATGAATTTAGCCACACATGTCCAGAAGAGGCCAATAGGGAATACATATCATAATCAAGAAAAATATTTATGCAAAAAAATGCATGTGATCCTTGACATTTTCAAATTCTGCTAAAATACCTTAGTGGTCAATGACACCAATGACACCAGTGGTGTATTTAGATTTTGTGCTGCCCTAGGCAACACAAAAATCAGCTGCCCCCCCCAGCGGAGAGAGCCAGACACCAACCAATACCACCCCTCTTCTCCCCCCTGAGCCTGAGAAATCCTTTAACTACCACCACCCTCCATACATCGGCCACCTCACCCCACCCCACCCAGTGAGAGAAAGACACTCACGTTCACAGCTCAGGACATTGCCTGGAATGAGAGTCAGGCTCTGCATACATCGTCAAGCAGTTTGCAGCCTCTCTTTGATCCCACCTGGTCGCCATGCCACGCGTGTCTCTTGTGCAAGGGGGCGGTACTGCCTCCCTGAAAAATGCCGCCCTAGGCAAATGCCTTGTTTACCATGTGGCAAATACACCCCTGATGACACCAACAAAGATATGGTATGGCTACTGCACCACACACTGGTGAATTTTTACAGCACTGCTTGCTCTAAATGTTAGTATTTGAAAATAGACATTCTGTAAGGTAAACATAAAGCATGCAGCAATATTAACGAGAAACAGAGTTTTACACGTTGAAGGCAAACCTTTGGGTTAGTTTGGTAGCCCACCCCCTCCAATCACCCACACAGCACTGTTTGTCTGCCAGAGCTCCATGAAATACACTGTACTTTCAGGTATGGGGGCATATGGCTCTCTCTCCTGTATTCTATGATGTGTCATTGGTTGGCTGAGTGGGCAGGGGGAATGTACTTAGTTTTGTGCTGTGGCCTGAGAACATATACCAAAGCAAAATTTATTTATTTTTTTCGCAGAGAGCAGTGATTTTAGTAATGCCTAAAGCTGTATTAAACCCCAAAACACACACATATATATACATACACACACACATATATATATATATATATAATATAATATATATTGTAGAGTACCAAGATTAGATGTGGTGGCTATGTTAGTTTTCTTTTTTTTTTTTAACACCCCTCTTTTATTAAAGTGTCCCCACTGTGGATGAAGGAGCTCAGGGGGGCATTTTTGAACAGCAACATTGTCAGACTGGGGGGAGGGGAATGTTAGATGTACTAAAAGATTTAAATACACTAACACATTGAAGCCATACTCCAGCTCACACTTTATAATCAATTACAACAAACAGCTTTGTTCCTTTAGGGATAAAGGTTTTATATAAGTAAAAGCTGATCGTTGCAAGCACCCCTATCTGTGTTAGAAGGTTTGTCTCAACCCTCTAACTGCTACATCTGCAGGACAGCTTTCTCTATTGAAAACAATGTTAAATAGCATGCCTGAGGGATGCCCTGACCTTGCCTGTGAAGTGGTACATCTGTGCCTCATCCAACCACATTGGGGAACTGGAGAAAGTACAGAGAAGGGAAACCAAACTGATACGAGGCATGGAGGAGCTCAGCTATGAGGAAAGATTGGAGGAACTGAATTTATTCTCTCTGGAGAAGAGGAGATTAAGGGGGGATATGATGAACATGTATAAATACATCAGTGGTTCATATACTGAACTTGGTGTAGAGCCATTCATCCTGAGGTCATCACAGAGGACAAGAGGGCACTCTTTATGTCTGGAGGAAAAGAAATTTAATCTCCAAACACGGAAAGGTTTCTTCACAGTAAGAGCTGTGAAAATGTGGAATAGATTCCCTCAAGAGTTGGTTCTGGCCAGCTCAGTGGATTGCTTCAAAAAAGTCCTGGATTGTTTCCTAGATACACATAATATAACTGGATACTAACATTTATAGGTAAAGTTGATCCAGGGAATATCCAATTGCCTCTCAGGGGATCAGGAAGGAATTTTTTTCCCTGCAGGAGCAAATTGGATCGTGCTTTGCTGGGGTTTTCTGCCTTCCTCTGGATCAACTGTGGGTGTAGGATTATATTTTTATTTTTTTTTTCTATGGTTGCACTGGATGGACTTTTGTCTTTTTTCATCCAGACTAACTATGTAACTATGACTCCACAACATCTCCACTAACGCTGGGATATTTTCCAACGAAGCTGGGGCAAACCTCTTTAAGGCCACACCCAATATTAAGGGGTCCTATGATAAATACTCCTTACTGCTGTGCTGTGTACTATGTTGTACAATACATTGCTTTATCCTGACTGTTGCACTGTATGTGGTGTGTAATACATTACTTAGACCTGACCCCTACACTGTATCGGCTGGGTTCTGTGTCACATGGTACTAACCAAAGAGTTTGTTTTTGAGTTGATCATTGCAGTGTAGTTTGCAATTAAGGAGGTTCTTCTTTAACCACTTCAGCACCAAAATGTTTTAGGACCAGGCCATTTTTTGCTATTTAGCACTGCGCTACTTTAAATGGTAATTGCCCAGTCATGTAACGCTGTACCCAAACAAAATTAATATAATTTGTTTTACACAAATAAAGATTTTTTTGGTGGTATTTGATCACCACCGGGTTTTTATTGTTTGCAATATAATTGTTTGAAAATAAAAACAATATTTTTTACTTTCTGCTATAAAACATATCCAATAAAAAATTTTAAAAATCACATTTCTTCATTAATGTTAGCCAAAATGTATTCTACTACATTTCTTTGTTAAAAAAAAATCCTAATAAGTGTATAT